AAATAACACTGTTACGGCATCCGGCAGTACCGTATTGCCATATTATTTTAACTCTAATAGTTATAACCCTATAGTACTGATATGTCTGCACCCTTAGTTTGAATCGACCTAGCATCGCTACCCCTTCAACAGACCTACTACACTCATGCATAATGACTACCGTCTTCAATAAGGAATGGAGACAAACTATGGCCAATACTACTTCGTTACCTTTTTTCTAAAGTAAATTCCCAAAAAAACAAAAATAAAAAGTAACACTTCAATTAATGGTAACATATTTCCAAAGAAGTAACTATGAAATCTGACCATCTATACTAAAGAATTTACAAAAAGAAGCAACATAAATAGGATTCTACTAAGTTCCTAGCTAAGTTGTTCAGTTAATTTCAGATTACAGCGATCACCTGATACAGGTACGTTCATATCACTAAATTCTAATAGAAGCTCTTTGGACTATCACTTCCAATGCTAAGATGTCTATCAATTCAGATTACTGCCCACTCCTGATATAGGATGAGGCCCAAATCACACAGTCAGTCAAGTCCAGAAAATACTGCATGGGATTCTGCAGTCTTGACGTCAGAGATCTGCAGAAAAAGAATGTTGTCATTTATGAAGGGATAGGAATGTCATCACGTGAATTTGTGTATCCAAGTATGTTAATCATGATTGTCAGTTGAGATACCTCTTGATGCCCACTTTTGTAGGCAAATAATTTTGAAAAAGAAAAAAAACAAGAAAAAATATACCGAAGAGAGATAAAAAAAAATATTTTAACAAAAAACAACACGGTTTAGACTTTAACAGCAATTTTTATGTGAATAGGGGTGTGGAAAACAAAGAGAAGAAAATTTTTGAAAAGAGGGGTTTTTTAGTTTGTTCGTAGGCTAAGCCATAGCCACTTTTGAATGAGCACTTTTTTAAAGTAAAATTTTTTTGGATAAAATCCAACAAGGGAGAGAGAGTTCGGTCGAATCATTTTTTTAACGATGTGGCACTGCCAATAACTTTATTTAATTTTTATAAGTAGTAAATACAAAAGTAGAAACAAAAACTAATTTAAAAGTACTAGCTATCCTTCATAGTTATATTACAAACCCGTTTGAATCAACCTATCATCGTCTTTTCCTTCCAACAGACCCACTAAATACATATTTAATGACTACTGTTATCACTAGAAAAAGAAAAAGAAAAAGGTTAGTGCCTATCTAAAAATCTGTCTAAGAGATACTATATATGTTTGCCTTATGAATCCATAATTCCCAAATTAGGGATGAAGGTTTTTTAAGGGAGTGCGGTAAATGTTTGCAGGCATCTTGCTTGCATTTAATTTGTTTGTTAATACCTTTTGAAAGTTCATAAGCAATGAGAAGTTTGTATCTGTATTTTCATATATTATTGTATAGATTTTAAAGAAGAATAGTAAGGAGTTCACTATAGTTGTATAGCAACTATTTTTATTTTTTGTAATTTTGTAAATAAGTGAAATGAATTTACTGGAAAGTTAGCATCGAATGACGTTTAGAAATCCATCTGTTGAAGAAGAAGGGGATGCAAAAAGTTCATCATAGGAATAGAGTAGTTCAGGTAAAGCGTTATAATATGAGTTAGGTTGGAGTGTTTTTTTAAATCAGTTAATAAAAGATCTTTAATTTGTAAGATGATATTGTTGATAATTGTAGAGTAGGCTGAGTAAGACCACACATGAGTAGAAGTTTCAGTGGTAATATTGCAACCAACACAACACTAATTTTTATAGAGATCAGGTTTTAATTGTTCTAATCGAGAGAGAGTAGGAAGTTCATTAATAAAAATTTTGATAATAAAGGATTTGAGAAGTGAAGTTTCAAAGGATGTTGATAAGGAAGAAAAGTGAAGGGTGAAGAATTGCCAAATAAGAGGCCAGTGAAAATCACTATGAGTATTAATGTGATCATTCCTATTAAGATCTAAAAAAGCTGAGAAGTTGAAAGCTGAGAAAAGATTCTTGAAGAATTGACGAATAGAAGATTCAATAGGAATATTATTGAAAGTGAAAAGCAGAGATAATCTAGGAGTATGAACAAGGAAGGAGATAAGGAAGGAAGATCACGATCAGCTTTAACTAGTGAGTCAGCCATATTATTAGAGAAGTCATCATTATGAGCTTTAACTTTATGAAGCTTAACTTAGAGTTCAGAAGATTCCATTATATATTGGATGATGTACCATAATGTATAGTTAGCTGATTTTTCTTTAGTTCTGATAGAAAACGATTGTTGAGTAATGTGAGAATGAAAGCCATGAATGGTAGCTTGACTATCAGTATAAATCTGTATAGTTGAATATTTGAAGGAGATAATCAAAGCTAAGAGAATAGCGAAAATTTTAGCTTGAGTTGAGGAGGGCCAATAATTAATGAAAGCATTGAATATTAATTGTGAAGTTGAATCAGTGTGACAGATCAACCAATATCCATTTTATATTGATCAGTTTTTGAAGCAGAAAGAGAACTGTCTGTGTAAAATGATAAAAATTTACAGGTAGAAACTTCTGAATTAATGGATCACAGTTGATCGTGATATGAAGAATTAGGAAAGATTCGTTCAATAAGATCTTGAGAAAGAGAAGGAATATTGGGTATGACACAAATAGAATGAGATTGTGCAACTCTAGTGATTTCATGCAAGATGTGTCTAAGTTGATGAGACATTATTTTAGCAGATTTTGGTATAATTAGAACTTGTACTGCTCTATGTTTTGCCATAGTAAATTACAGAAATCATAATATGGTGTTGATGGAAATCTATTACAACTGTCACATTTGACAAGCCTTCCAATGTTGTTTTCAGAGGAGTAGATATAATGTTGAATGATGAACTCATTAGGACCAATATTTTTACTTACAATTTGACCGAAACCAAATGTGATATTAGATGGATCCCAGATAGAAATGAATTCTTTCTTTCTGTCTGCTAGCATTATAGATTTAGCTAGATTGAGATAATTGGGAAGACAATCTAAGAAGTATTCCTTTTTAAGAAGTGTATCTGAGGGGTTTTCTAATACTAAAGATTCTAAAAGTGGTATAAATGTTAAATGACATATTTTTGTAATAGAATGATTGAAGTTTCTATATAAAAAGTTAGTCCAATTAATAAGGTGACGTCCTGTAAATAATGTAAGCTGATCTAAGTAGAAGAGATTATATTTTTTTAGTATATAATGATGACAGATGAAAACATTAAAAAGAATGATTTGTAAAGTGAAGTAATTTCTCCAATAATCTGATTTGTAAGAGTAGGAGAGCATATACATGACAATTTTTGGAAATTATAGCTGATGAGACTTAGGGAAACACCAATTAGATTTTTGTATGATTTACTACTGAATGGATGGTGCCAGTAATCCAAAGATGAAGTAGCTAACATATTGAGTGATTGTAATTGAAACAGTCTAATCATCGAGATATTTTTGTAAAATGTATTATTGTTAAACTGGTTTAAAAGAGCAGTAGAAATTGATTGAGTTTGAAGTGGCCATAAATTGTTAAGATTATAAAAATATTTGAGGTGTAGGAGGACTGTGAGAAGAGTGGAAGAAAAATAAAGTTTTGATTTGAATAGGGATCTAATGGAAGCAAATAAAGTATCACATTCATTTTTAGATAAGGGAGTAATTTGCATGCGATATTCAAGTAAAGGACAGAGGATCATATTAATAATGTAAGCCATTTGTTTGTCAATTACTGGCTTATATTTCATAGAATTAACAAATTTATTGATATCTTGTCTGATTTGATTTTTGACAAAGGATTGTGAACGTTGATTATTGATCCATACTCCTAGAAAATGAATAGATTCAGTTTCAGATGTGATATCTATATGTGAAAATCCAAAGCGAAGATTAACAGGAGACGATGATGTAAAATTGGTAACAAGAAGCTTGGATTTATCTTTGTTTAAGGCAGCTTTAGTTAAGTTATAGAAATCATCAGCTACATTGAGGATGCATTCTAAATCTATTTGGCTATTGGCAATCCAATTGGTATCATCCATAAAAGCCAGTGAAGATACAGATTCAGAAAGGGGGTAGTTGAGTTATCAGTAATATCAGAGATCCATGTATGGTTTATAGTGTAGCCTTTATTAAGAGAATTAATTTCGCATAGGAGAGGATCTAAATAAATACACCATAAGAGTGGTGAAATGACTTCTCCTTGATCTATACCAATTTTAATATCATAGTAAAAGGAGATACCATCAGAAGTCAAGATAGCATTCTTGCAGGCAGTAAAGAGATTGATGATTAGGTTTGAGGAGTTTAATTCTCTGAAGAGCAAGTTTGAGAAATTTGAGATCCACTCTATCATAAGCTTTGGAGAGATCCTGAAGAAGAATCCAAATGTCTTTTTTATTTTCTATGACGTCTTCTAATAGCATATTCATAATTATGATAGGTGTTTCAGTAGACCCTTCAGGCAATCCTACAAAGTTTCTTCCTCTTAATATGTTGTGTTTAGCTAGAATTTTGGATAATCTATTATTGATGATTTTTACAAAACCTTTACGAGATGTTTCCAGGAGTGTAATTGATCTGGTTTTAGTTATATCATAATTTCAGTCCATGGGTTTTGGAATAGGATAGATGTATGCTATCTTCCATTCATTAGGAATTTCACCAAACATAAAACACATACAGATTAATTGCCAAAGTAGATGTTGAAGACGACTTCCTAAATGGTATATCATTTTATTTGATATTCCTGATGGGCCTGCGGCTTTGTTGTTAGGGATGCTATGTAAAGTTGAAATCCATTTGTCATATATTAGGGTTGCATTAGGTTAATATATACATTAGAATCAATGTGATCTTGCGGTTGATATTAGTTTGTCCATCTGGTATTGAGGGGGTGTTCAGCTTCAGTTAGTAAGGCATAATTTTGAAAGTGATTGATAGCTGCATTTTTAATTTCAGTAGGATCAATGGAAAAGTATTTAGCATTAGAATTAGGAATGTCGATCAAGAGTCTATCCATAATAATTGATCTTTTCTTTCTATTTAGGATTGAATCAATCATTTT